ACAGCCTCTCTATAGACGAAGTTGCTTGTTTAGCACTATGAGTATGTATAATAATTGTTAAGCTTACTTCCATTTCGAGTTAAAGTGTTGGGTGAAGAGATTCGAAGGTCGATTCCACCAGAAGATGACGCAGGGTACCCCTTTACCGGCTGTTGATTGGCTTTACTAAAACATTCATGCTGACGCCGTTTCTGAGGTTATCTGCTTCAATTCCAGTGAAAAGGTGCTAAGCTTTCGTCCGCCATATGACGAACATATAAGAGTAAGGTATCATCGTCACAACCAAATTCAAGCTAACGAGTCAAGTAGAGTATATATATCGCTTTTTAGGGATTTCAGAGGAGTGTTCTTGACTTGTTAGTTTGAATTTTGTTGTGACGATGATACCTTGCTCTGATGATGTTAGTCATATGACGGACGAAAGCTTAGCACCTTTTCACCGGAATCGAAGAAGATTGCCTTGGAAACAGAGTTAGCATGAATGTTCCAGTAAAGCCAATCGACAGCTGGTCAAGAGGAATCAACCGCCGTCTTCTGGTGAAACCGACCTTCGAATCTCTTCACCCAATACTTTCACTCGAAATGTAAGTAAGCTAAACAATTATGAAACAAGAGATTCCTCGAAACCCAACTTTTTGCTGGTCTTGCTCTGTTCTTGTTTTCCCAGAGTTTGCTTAGGCAGTTGGTAAAGTTATCGTCAGCTCTACCTTCTTTTACTCTCCTGTTCATTAGAATTTTCTCCCAAAGCATGTCAATGTCCTCCTCAATCTTCTGCTTCCTTGTGTTGTCACCGAAAAATATAATGAACTTGAGATTGGAGGAAGGTAGAGTTAGCGATAACTTTGCGATAATTGCTATGTCAGAGGACTTCGAACTTGGCGTGTTCTACTAAGTCGTCCTGACAACAAGACCAAGTTACGACAACGAGTTTAACCCACTTTTATAAATCGAAAGCAGACTGCAGCCATACCGAGGGTCACACCATCTTAGTTTTCATATCTATCAAAGGTTATGTTAAGTTTAATGAAATCATTAGAGGCAAAATTCCGATATTGGTCATTATATCACCTCAACTGACCACAGCTGAAAATATTTTTTTATAATATGCAAAAATCTTCTCCATAAATTGATGACAAGTGCTGTTGCGACCTCGTGTCACAACTGTTTTCTATTTTCATGGCATAATTAAGAAGATATAACATGTACTACTTCATTTACTACTTCTCTCATATCTTCCTTCAGCTTCAAACCGTCGCCTCTGCTCATTGACAGATCGTCTAGTCTGCATTTTCAATAGGAAGAATATCCTAAACCTTGACTCATAATTCGTCTAACGAGATCAAATCATGAATACTTGTCTCCATATTTGTGTTGTTCTAAGTGCCGGCTATTAAAATGTTTAATAGTGAAGCCTCACCCATTTCTAGAAAATAAAATAAGGCTACGCAATAAAAGTTCCAACTCACACTGAAACTGTTGCCAGAGCAACATGGCAAAGATGACCAACTATGAATTGCTCCTCGCACACAAATACACACGATGCAAACAATATGATCTTTTGACAGGTACGCCCGACCATTAGCTTCATGGAAATTAGAGTTCCTGCGATACAATAACAAACTGCGTCACTAGGGCGTTTATCGCCAAAACGCTCTAAAATCTTTCTGTCAAGGAATTCAAAAAGCCAACAGGAAGAAGACAGACAGTGATTTATGATATTGGAAGTAATGTGACTGATCAAACAACTGACAATTTCCCTCAAATCCCTTACGCAATGAAAGATCAATTGAGAGCCAGGACATGTGCTTCTATATATCTTTTGTTAGACCGACAAAATGATTGTATTATACCCTCGATTTGTTGAGCTGTGCAAGTAAATTCATAGTACTCTCCTGTTAGACGCCATTCTTTGAACATAGTTAGCTGGACCAACTTTGGTCGCCAAAGCGAAGGGTAAATGTGATTTTTCCTAATTAAAGTCAATGCAAATTAACTCTTCTCCTCCCACTTATTGGTACCAAGGTATGCTGACTAAGAGTCAAAATTTTCTGCTTCACGGTAAACATGCGGTCTCTAACCTGAATGATCGTCTGGTTAGGGCCAGATGTGTCTCCAATCTTTCAGTTAAATGCTACAGCATTCCAGGGAGTTTGAATCATCCTTGCCGCACATGGGTTGAAATGTTTATATGACCAAATCTGAGCTTTATGAGCATTTCCAGTAGAATACATTTTTTTCATCTCCTTGCGAAATCTATGATATCTCGAGTTAATTTATGTTTAACTGTATCTCTTTATGAGTAGGTTATCAAGACTTGTGTAACTAGTGATAGTTAAGTAAAATGTATATGAAAACTTTCATTTCATATGGAAGTATACAACAATCTTAGCTCAGGAGATTCTCAGAAACCCGAATTTTTATTGTATGTATAGTTTAGTAAAGTAACATGTGTGATTGCAATGGCAAAATAGATTTGTTTGCATTATTTTAGGTGACCGTAAAAATGTGAATAGCAAGAAGTCTGAGCTTTGATTGTATTCATATTTAACTTGTGGCAACCACTGAAAGTCGGGTGGTATTTTTGAAATGCAAGCGACTCAGCAACGAATTCTGCTTGGATGCTGATTATTCCGATACGAGGCTTAAATGGCCGGCCAGCTTGGAAGATAGCCCTTTGGGGGGGGGAGGCGAAGTGATATTTAATGCCATGACGAAACCATCTGATGTTTAAATTGTAAGAAACTCAACTTTTAGACAGTCCATCAATTGAAGCGACCTAAGGTGGCCCTCGTTTTTCCCTACTCTTAAGGTTATCACCCAAATATTAAATCTCTAACTCATCATTTGAACATTTGTAAGTACTTATTTTGTTTGATAGAACTCTCAGACGTGCTCGAGCAGCAAGAGCAAGCATGTTTGCCTGACTTTCAGAAAATGATATTAGGCCAATTGCACTGGCATATTCTGAAAAGAAAGGAAGAGAAAGATAGTATGAGGGAGAGGGGGGCTAAAATGAAAGAGGAGAGGTGAGAAGAAGATAAGGAGGATGATGATAAAAGAAAGATAAAGATAGAGATTATGAGAGTAGTAGGAGGAAATGAGATTAAGTTTGCTTAGGATGATGTCGATCTTGAGAGCATTTCGAGCCCTGGAATTTCTGTCAGGAATAAGTTAGGACTCAATTCGAAGAATATATCCATCCCATCCATTTCCTTTTTCTCTTCACATGTCGATACTCCTCTTGACCATATAAACCGATCACAACATCGTCATTTTAATTTGTCTAGCGACATACACAAGTGGCCCCAGTTCCTTCATTAATGATCTGCTACGACTTTGGCGAAGATAACACACTTAAAGCCCCTCCTGTACTTGTCGAGTGGCCAACCTGTTGCCTTCGAGACCACGCATTCCAGCTTCGGGGTCCAAGAGCGGATGCAAATGGCCGACCTGGCAGAGCGATATTTCTCGTCGGCTCATGGAATCTCGCTCAATTATCAGACGACCTACAGTGCCTCTCAAAATGAAACACTATCTCTCGTATTCTGAGGAAGAGAGGATTTCGTAACTATCAGTACATCGAAACCCTACTTATATACCAAAAATCCTAAATAAAACGAATGACCAATGGCATTCAAAGCAGGTCAGGCACTACTTAAATCACATTTGTATACTCCGATTGTCATTTAGGCAAACATGTATTTATCATCACCTTTTGACGACATTACTTTTATTCGATGTGAGTAGGCTTGTAAATTAT